TCTGCTGCTGCCACAGCACTCGTAGAAGCACACCCGCAGGAAGAACAGAGGCTTGAAGTGACACGAGCATCAGCACCACCATCAGCAGCAGCAGCAACAGCAACGGTGGCAGCGGAAACAGCTGCAGTGGCAGCAGACGCAGACCCCGCACAGCCCTCCCTCTGGTCGCTCCTGGGTGCCACCGACCAGCAGCGACTGACAGTCCTGCAGGTGGCAGCATCCCGAGCGCTCTTCACCATGGCTAAGGACCGCTGCCTCGCCGGCCACGGACCTGGATCCAAGCGATCGCACACGCTGGGAGGGCCGGGCAGCGTGCGGTGGCACATGGTGGCGTGCCTGTGCACGATGCTGGGGGGGCCTGTGATGACGATGGACGAGTGCCAGCTCTTCAATGCGGAAGGGAAGCAGGTGGTGACGATGGCGGATATGTATGCGTTCCTCAAGTACCGGCATGGCGGGCATGTGATCTCAGCGCAGCACATGGTGCGGTTCGTGCAGACGGTGGCATCGGCTGTGAGCTCTGTCACGCCCGTGCCGGACGTGGCTGCGGCCAGCCTCAACGCGCTCATGCACTCCTTCAATGATGCTGTTGTGTCCTCCGATGCTGTCGGCTGTTCACAAGGTGAGCTCTGTCACGCCCGTGCCGGACGTAGCACCTGCACGCCTCAACACGCTCATGCACTCCTTCAATCATGTCGTCGGCTTCTTCGATGCTGTCGGCTGCTCACAAGGTGCTCATGGCCGGGGGGGTAGTGGTGGTGGGTGTGTGCGCATGTGTTTGTAATTGTGTGGGTCGGTGGACATGCAATGTTCATGTATGTGCAGGTGAATGTTCAAGTGTTGCTGTCACCATTGCATCTCGGACGGATTATATTTTAGCCGCCGTTTCCTCCTTCCCTTGCTGTCTCCCTTCAGGCGGTGCATGGCTGCAGTGGCGGGCGGGTGTGAAGCACAACACGACCATCCATGTGGGCGACAAGGTCACCTGGGTGTGGGATGACGACCTCCCGCACTCCCTTAAGGGTACGCCTTGTCCTTTTGTAGCTCTACCACCTTCACTTGTGCCACTAACTCTTTTGTCCAACCATGCTTGTATTACTCTTGCTGTGAGTGAGTGGCGATATAAATTACACCTGTCTTGCTCCCCCTCTACCCCATGATACCTATTTCCCTTGCTTCCCTGCACCACCTATTCCCCAACACCCTCTTGCTCCACTGCCACCACCATCAGTGGCGGGGATGGGAGAGGTGGACGACCCGCTGTTTTTGGGCTTCGGGGGACACCGATTGGCTGTATCGCGCAAGCTGGCATGCTCGCCCATGAACGTGGGCATAGGGGACGCTTTTGACGAGCCGCTGCCATGCGTGCTGAGTGAGTGGGGGGCGGGTGTGGTCGGTTTGGCCAGTCCTGAAGCGTCCAATCCATCTTAGCTGTCGAGTCACATGTACCCTCTCACCCTCATGCTGCATCCTTACTCCCCATCCGTCCTCCCAATGTCCTCCTCTATTTTCTGGTCCTCTCTCCCTCCAACCAGAGATGGACGACGGGTCCCCCGGCTCGTTCGCGTATAGCAAGGTGTTTGAGGAGCCAATCATGATTCACTACGAGGACGGCACTCTCTCTGTTGATGATTCTTCGTCCTCCTCCTCCTCCTCTTCCACCTCTGCTGCGTCTCTTCTCACTGTGTTGCCTGCACGAGCAGGAGCTGAGGTTGCTGGTGAGCTTTGCATGCCATACCACCACATGCCATACCATGCCGTATGCCACACTGCATGTCATGCTGCATATATACCATGTTGCGTGCCATGCTTCATGCCATACGGCATGCCACTCTGCATTTGTGATGTGACTTCCTTCAATGCTTGCTTTCACCCCCACCATTCCCTGCGTCCCTACTCCATCCTTTTTTCTTACCCACCCCTCCCTCGCATGGCAGGTGTTGTGAACGCCACTGAGAGCAGCACTCTCTCGAGCACTGCACGCTTCACTTCCACCAGCACCAGCACGCCCTCCTCCTCCTCCGCCTCCCCAGCAGCGTACGAGTGCTCGCCAGGGTGTCGCCTGCAACGGCTGGGCAATGGGGTGTGCGATGGGGCGTGCAACACGCCTGCATGCGCCTTTGACGGCGGCGACTGTGCGTGTGTCGACCCGCTCTTCGGCCCCGGCATCTGCGCCTGCCCGCCCGGCCACACCCGCCGCGACGATGGCTGTCAGTCATCCCTCTCCCCCTCCCCCTCCACCTGCTCCTCTCGCCCCATGCCTTGCTCCGTCATCCCTGCCTCCCCTCCCATCGTCGCTTCACTCTTATTCGCTTTCTAACTTGCACTTCCTTTCATTGCCTCATTGTGTTAGTAGACCTGCACTGGGAATGCCTGATTGATCATATGCCCGATTGATCATAGGGAAGGGTTACAGACTCGTTAGCCCTGTGAGATTATAGGCGCACTGACCCACTACTTCACATCACAGTGGTCTTGTCGCTGAGATTCTGACATGGTATCCGAGCGAAAGTCTCAGGTTCGAAACCCCATGTGCGCTCATGTTGGCACTGCCACTGTACCGTGTCCTAAAGCATCCGTGTGAGGGAGGGTTGTCAGAAGACATGCACCGGCGATGTCTGATTGATCCTAGAGAAGGGTTACAGGCTCGTTAACCTAGAAGGTTATGGGCGCACTGACCCGATACTTAACAAGTCGTTTTATGCCAGTGGTCTAGTGGCTGAGATTGTGACTCCTTTACCTCTGATCCTTGCTCTCTCTTCCTTATACTTCTCCCATCCCTCCCCTCCTCCCTCCCCCTCCCCCTTCCACCAGCGTGCTGTCTATCCACGGCGGTGGGCGCCAATCTCAACTTCCCCTTCACACTGCAGCGCCACGGCCCCAACTACACCGAGAGCAACTTCGCCTTTGCTGCTGAGAGGGGTTTTGCTGCCAACCGCTTCGTGTCACACCGCAACCGGTACCTCCCTGTGCCTCCTTTCCTGCCATGCCTCCCTGCTTGCCTCCCTTTCGTGCCTCCCTGCCTGCCATGCATGTCCTGTTGGGCGCCACACTTGTGCAGCACCCTGCCTGCCCTTCCTTGCCCTTCCATGCTTGCTCGACATTTCAACCCCCTTCCCAGCACAGCATTCATCTAATCGTACACCTCTCAATCATGATATTACACCCTCTTGTACCACTGAGAGAGCCACCACTGTCGACCGTGACGTCTCGCATTGCAATTGGAAGGCACCATGCTGCACCACGCAGTACCGTTGTTCCATCAGCTTCCGTTCGCCCATTGGAGCCTCCGTTCTGCTCACCACCACCATCAGCTTCTAACCCTCCTCTTCCACACCCCCCTCCCTCCTTTCTCCCTTACTTCTACATGGCAGTCTGTTGATTGGCTTGGTGCTACAGCAGGATCGGTGGGGCACACAGCAGTGCAACGGATCGGGGTGAGTGGTTCTGGGGAATGGGGGTGAGTGGGGAATCGGGAGAGTGGGGAATGGGGTGAGGGGTGAATGGGGTGAGTGGTGGGGTGTGACGTGCCAGGCTTTCATGATGCTTGGCTGATCTCGTCACTGTGAATGCAGCCACCAGTTTCTCTTCAGATGCTCCCTTCCTCACAGCTGCACCCTCTCTTTTTCCCTCCCACCAACTCTGCCTCCTCCCTCCCCTCTCTCTCCAGCCTGCTGCACCTGGCGGGGTGGTGCAGCAACGGCACATCCAGAGAGCCGTTTGGAGTGAACCCGCACTTCCTGCCCACATCGGCCATCTACGACAGCGCTGCCAGCGCCAACATGACCCAGCTTGACAACAGCACCCTCAATCCGCAGAACCTCCCCTACGGATTTATCTACCCTGTGGTCAGTCAGTCATGGCTCCTTACAAAATTTTCTGCTCTGTATAATCTGCCAGTGAAATGCCATGCGCTATGCGACTGGTGTAAAGCTTGAGGTGAACCATTTCTGGATGGTGGAGCTCAAATAATGAGTTTAAATGGATAAGAAAACGAGTTGGATTGTGGTGGGTGCAACCTAAAATGGTGGGTTGGATTTGTGTGGCGCCTATCTTTCAAAGCTATGTTTACACTGAGCTTTGAGCTATGTTTGCAAGCATAAAACCATGGAGTTTTCAAATCTGTGTAAATGCTGGAAGGACTTGATGTCATCGTCTTTGATTCAACTTGGTAATGCTGAATTCCTCTGTGCACCCTTTTCTCTACAGGACTCTCTCACGGCCTACCCTCTGGTGTTTGATATCAATCTCGACTACGAGGCGGCCATGCGTCGTCTGCACTACCTGGTGGATGGAAGCTATATCGACAATGGCACTCGCACTGTAGACGTCAGCTTCATCACTTTCAACGGTACTAACTTGGCGCTGTTTTAGACCAATCAATGTGAATTCCTGGTGTACCAGAAATGTGAGTCGTGCCAAATGCGTGCATATTTGCTCTCTTTCAGTGGCTTTCACTGTTCTGCCCCGCCTTCTTCTCTCTCACGTCTCATGCGTCCACCACCTTTTTCCATGTTGGCAGGCGAATCGCTCACTTTTGTGCTCACAACTGTGAATTGCAAAGTGACAACGGGCGGCAGCATGGCAGTAACGATGAAGTCACAGCCGGCAGCCATGGCGATGTACGATGCATCGGCGGACAACATCGCACGGCTGGTGCTGGAGATGGTGTATCTGGTGGGGCTGCTCTGGAATGTGTGCGGCGAGCTGCAGGAGATGGCCGACCGCGCTGCCAAGGATGGCTCTGTGCTCAGCTATTTTGGGCTTGTGTGGAACTGGGTGGACATGCTCTCTCTCACACTGCAAGTGGCTGCTGTTGTTATCTGGTAAGCAACCAGCCAAGGTTTGTCAATGGTAGCCTTTGTCGTGCGATGCACGCGGTGCTCATCATCTCACGTCGAACCCCGCGTACGGCTCCTACCTCACCGCTCATCCGCCCCCCACACGCCCGTTGTTACTCACACTCATCCACATCTGCGTGTGTGTGTCGGTGTGCTCAGGGTGGTGCTGTGGCGGTATGTGGAATCATTTGACATGCAGCCACGATACGACATCTACCACTCGCTTCTCGAGATGCCGCGCTACTGGGCCGTGCCCAACCTGCCCACAGGCTTCATCAGCGCCACTCAGGCCTTAGCTGATCTGCGCAACATCATCAACCTCCGCAGCGTCTACTTTTCCCTCCAGGGCATCAAGTGAGCCGCCTAGCCCTCAACACACACAAATGTCTGTGTGTGTGTGTGTGTGTGTGTGTGTGTGTGTGTGTGTGTGCGTGCGTGCGTGCGTGCGTGCGTGCGTGCGTGCGTGCGTGCGTGCGTGCGTGCGTGCGTGCGTGCGTGCGTGCGTGCGTGCGCGCGTGCATGTGTGCATGTGTGCGTGTGCGTGTCGATTCTCTTTTTGTCGGGTTAAAAATAACGTAACTTTTTTACTCGGCTCGTTTGCTCATGTCTAGCTGTCGATCATTGATTGATGATCCATCCCAAATCGACCACACTCTTACTTCTGCACCGCCTAATTCCCTTCCCTGCTCCCTGTTCCCCTCCAGTCTCTTCTTCATGATGATTCGCCTACTCAAAGTCATGGACTTCCAGCCCTATCTGGGCGTCATCACTCGCTCCCTCGCCCTCGCCACGCCGTCCCTGATGCACTTCTTCTTGCTCTCCTTTACGGTCTTCTTCTGCTTCAGCATGTACGCCTACCTCGTCTTCGGAGGAGCACTTGAGATGGTATGTGTGGGGCTCATTCCTTTCCTTTCTTTTGATGTGTTGATGATGTTTTCGCTTAAAGAAGCGACCCGTCTTGTACCTGTGGGTGAATAGTCTTGATAATAGTGGATTGGACTGGGCGACTATGACCGCGGCGGTCTGCATCCATGAGCTGGTTAGGGCGTCTGCGATATTATTCGCGCATTTTTTGTACGTGATGGTGTAGCGGAAGTTGGACTCAACAAAGTCCAACCATTGGATTTGTCGCGGGTTCAGCGGCAATTGGGCTCGCAGGTACTGTAACGACTTATGGTCCGTTCGGACTATCACGTCGGCTCCCGTCAGGTAACAGCGCCAGGCAGGAAATGCGTGCACCTGGTAATTGCGCTCGGGTGGCTGCATCTTGCCTGACACGTACACAATGGGATGCAGCCCATTGCTGATATCTTGTAACAGAAGGGCGCCGATGGTGAAGTCGCTGGCGTCGGTTATAACTTCGAACGGTCGAGATTAGACATGAGCAAAAACTCGAACACCTGTTCGGTTCGCCTCGAACATGTTCGAGGCGAACCGAACTATTTTTTTTTTGGGAAAAAATAGTTCGAGGCGAACATGTTCGGTGTTCGCCCGAACATGTTCGCCGTTCGCCACCCAAGTTTCGGGGAGGTTGGACGAACACGAACATGTTCGTGTTCGTTTTGTGCATGACGCGAACACCAAAGTGTTCGCGTCAAAATTGGCCGCGACCAAATTTAGGTCGCGGCCAATTTGAGTTTGAGCTCATTTTTTGAGCTCAAACTCAAATCGTTTTTTGTTGGTTAGCCCTCCCTCCCTCAACCACCATAGGCTTCATCCCTAATAGGCTATAGCCACCACACACCGTTCCCTAACTATTACACGAACATGTCAACTAAGTAGTTCGTAGTAGTGAGTGAAGGGTAATTTCAGAAATCGCGAGGGGTTAGTTCGTAGTAGCTACGGGATCAATTTCGTAGAGGCTAATTCCCTAGTTGTAGGGGCGGGCATTTCTCCGTGCCACACGTACCTAGGAGTTCAATTAGGACCGTGCTATCCGTGGCTTGCGACCGTTCCTTTGGGGTTTTAGGGTTTTAAGGCCGAGAGCGGATTTATGGCTTCTAGCCAACATGGATCTGTAGAACGAGGTGCACGCAGCGCTCAGGGCGGTACACCAGGTTCTCCACCACGACCTATGCAGGGGCGAGTAGGGGATGGACCTGCAGGAGCCGGCGCTTGTTTCGTCGGGGGGTTTCTTTCCGTAGCGGCGCCGACGTCCCGTCACTCGTTCCGTTACTCAGGCCCTCGACCCCCTCCTTCTGGGCAGACGCAGCCGGAGAGTGGCAGTGGGGAGGAGGATGAGGAGGAGGAGGGTGAGGGCGAGGAGGATGAGGACCATGAAGGGAGCGGGGATGACAGTGAGGCCGGGTGGGATCCCGAGACGCATGGCGGTGGGAAAGGGGGGGATGATGAGGAGGACCATGAGATGGATGGGTTGGAGCCAGAGGAGGTGGAGGAGGGGGTGGGAGAGGGTGGTGAAGGGGCGGCGACAGAGGCCGCCTCACAGCATGTGGCTGAAGGAGGAGGGAGCGTGGGGGTTAAGGTGGGGAGAAAGCGGGCATCCATTAGGATGCCGAAGCGGAGGAAGAGGGCGAGCAAGTTGAGGGAGCGAGCATATCCCTGCACATTCACTGGGAAGCCCTTGGGCGAGGGTGTGGTCGCTCCGGAGTTCCTAGACGAGGACGGAGGGTCCGAGAGTAGTAAGGGGACTGGCAAGGGTAATAAAAAACCGGGGTGGCAAGTACAGATGTTCGGGCCTAAAGGGGCAGACGAGAAGCGTCAGTGCAAGATTTGCACTGACAGGATTTCGTGGAAGCAATCCACGACAACACCCGGCGAGCGGCACTTTGAGAGCTACCACACAGCGCACATGCACGTGTGGCATCACCGTTACCACACTCCGTCCGTTCACTTGCCTGGGGAGACGTTTCCTCGTGGGGGCTACAAGGGTGTGCCGGATGGCTACGTCGATGGGTGGCCGCATGCCAAGTCTTGGCCGCATCTCGCAAAGAAGAAAGGGACGGCGTCCGGTGGAGCTCCGGGGTCAGGCGGGATGGAGCGGTTCATGACAACCAAGCTGTCCACGGAGGAGCTACGGCAGGCGATCGCCAAGCTGGTGGTCACCTGTGACCTCCCCTTCCGCATCGTCGAGTCCGAGGCCGTGAGTGTCCCATGCCTGGTGTTTTGGCAGTATGTGTGTGGTTGACTATTTCATGCTTCTATTGTAATCCACCATTGACATATCCACCATACACATGTCCACCATTCACATGTCCATCATTCACATGTCCACCATTCACATGTCCACCATTCACATCTCAGCACGTACAGTCACATCTCAGCACGTACAGTCACATCTCAGCACGTACAGTCACATCTCAGCATGTACAGTCACATCTCTGCACGTTCAGTCCACCATTCACATGTCCACCATTCACATGTCCACCATTCACATGTCCACCATTCGGATGTCCACCATTCACAGTTGTCTCTACTCTACCCTCCTTCAGTTTCGGGAGCTATTGATCCTGCTAAACCGCAACTGCGCACAGAAGAACTTCATCCCCTCGCGGTGGACGGTATCCCGCGACACTGTGGTCTATGCAACAGCAGCTCTCCAGTCCGCCATTGCGGAGATGCTGGCGAAGGAGGGGGAGTTGGGGTGCAAGGTGTCGATCACCATCGACATGTGGACGGCACCCAACAACAAGGCATGGCTAGTGGTGACAGGTCACTGGATAGACGAGAACTTCCAGCTGCGCACAATGGTGCTTGAGTTCCGTGAGATGCTCGGGCGGCATGGGGGCAGGGAGATGGCGCAGGTGGTTGAGGAGACGATTGTGCAGTGGGGGTTGGAGGGGCGTTGTCTTGGTTTCACGACAGACAACGCCTCTAGCAACATTGCCGCCTTCAGGCGGATGTCGGAGGAGGGTGGTGGTCAGTGCTTCTTCAGCTCGCGCATGCACTTCCGGTGAGTGTGGGAGTGTGCGTGGGTTGGGCGTGCGGGAGTGTGGGCGTGTGTTTGCCTTTGTGGGCGTGTGTTTTTGCCTTTGTTGGTTTTGTGGCTCGCTCTAACCATGTGTCCTAATACTTCCCCTTATCTCTTTCCCTAATGTTGTGTTCCGTGCGCAGGTGCTTGGCACACATGATAAACCTTGCAGTGCAGGCAGCACTGGCTGTGGATTCCATACGGAAGTTGCTGAAGATACTGAGAGAGATGGCGTCGTGGATTGGCTTCTCTCCACAGCGCTCGGGGTCTTTCTTGGGCCTACAGCGGACCTTGAACTCGCAGGCCAACCCCGCCACGCCGAAGCCGGCGTTGAAGCTGGTGCAGGACAGTCCTACGCGCTGGGGGTCGACCCACGACATGGTCGAGCGTGCGGGTGTTCTGCAGAACCCCATCACTGTCTTCTTCGCCCAGACACAGGTAACACTTGTGTTTTGTGTGGGTTGTAGTGTGTGGTTATGTCATGGTGTGGTGTGTTAGCACGTCTACACAATATTGTTGGTCATGCTTGTATGTTGCCGGCCGGATGCCATAATCCTCCTCCATAATCACAGTTTCCCTCATACCTCCCCCCAAACCATTCCCTCTACCCGACAGGGCTTGTCGAAGACCGACAAGAAGAAGGTGGAGAGTTTGCGCCTGACAGACGCAGACTGGGAGACCCTGCAGGCGGTGAAGACATTCCTAAGCCCCTTCGCCAAGGTCTCCAAGGCAGCAGAGGGGGCGGCGTACCCGACTGTGTCGATGGTGGTGCCGTACTACAACGGCCTGATCGACGCCATGGAGTCGCGCCTTGCCAAGGGGCCATCTCCGACGCTGCAGCCGATGATCGTGGCGGCGCTGAGCCACTTGAAGAAGTACGCGTACATCACCAGCAACGAGTACTGGATCGCCACCTTCTTGGACCCTTCCATGAAGGCGGCGTGGTTCGACGACGCGCACTGGGAGAAGCTGCATCCCGAGACCGACAGGAGGGTGAGGCCGCGTCCGGCGTCTGGCGAGGTGATCAAGCTGGTGCGCGACCGCGTGGCCGAGTACCAGGCCCGGGCTGCAGAGCTTGCTCCACGGCCGACCCCACTTGCCCCCGTTGCGGAGGAGGAGGAGGGAGACGAGGAGGAGGATGACGATGACGCGCAGTTTCTCCCTAGTCGCCGACGACTTGCGGCGCGTCTGTCGGCGAGCCAGGATGCGGGGGCGGGTGGGATGGTGCAGGACGACGAGGTTAGCAGGTACTTGTCCGAGAGGGTGCGGTGCGACGTGACAGCGCTAGAGTACTGGCGCAGTGCCACCAACATGCAGACGCTGAGGCGCATGGCCCGGGATTATCTCGCCATCCCTGCCACGTCCGCTTCGAGTGAGCGGGTGTTCTCCCTTGGTCGCAACCTCATTTCCTGGAAGCGGCACCGCCTGGCCTCTCAGAGGACGCGAGCTGTCATGATTCTCAGATCATGGTACAGTTCACACCCTGGCCAGAGGATAGGCGAGGGCCGCCGACCGAGAGGCGTCGCACCACCAGAGTTCGCCATTGAGGGCGAGGGGGCAGAGGAGGATGACGAGGAGGAGGAGGAGGAGGAGGAGGGTGTGGAGGCTGACGACACAGCTGGTGGAGAGGATGCTGTTGTTGGTAGTAGCAGTGGCGCCTTAGTGTAGGAATTTGTTAGACTTTGACATTTCTCTTCACAGTATGTGATGTTGTACTATTGGGTTCGTTGCATGCACACATATACACCTTGCACACATTTTGCTATCATCCTGAACCTTGAAAACTGTTTTCTGACATGTGTGACTATAGTGAATTTTCCCCTGGGCGAACACGAACATGTTCGTCTCGAACATGTTCGTGTTCGCCTGTTGAAAAAAATCGTTCGCCACTTAGGGCGAACGGCGAACACCAAGTTTCAGCTAATTAGTTCGCCGAACCGAACAGTGTTCGGTTCGGCAAAACTACATGTTCGAGGCTGGGCGAACTCGAACATGTTCAAGTTCGCCCTTTGCTCATGCCTAGTCGAGATGGGTCCACGAGCCTCAGCACCGGGGGTGAACTCAAAATGTTTTTTCAGTGCATCGAAGGCCGACTGCTCTTCCTCCCCCCATGAGAAACACTCTGTTTTGCTTGAGTAAGACTTTGTGTGCTCAAGTTTATCATGACTCTCCCGTTTGCCAACCTTGCGCTTTTTCGATTTTTTCTTTCTTTCGTTCTTTCTTTTTTTGAACGTTTTACCCCAACAATTTCCCCATCTCCCGCCTCCCCCCTTCCACCCTTTGCAGTTTTCCACAGTTCTAGAGTCCATGTTCTCGTGCTTCCTGCTACTCCTCAACGACAATGGCTCGGCCTACTTCTTCCAGCGCATGGAATCATGGGACCTCATAGCTGCGATGCTCTTCTTCTTCATGTTCATCGTCTTCATGGTCTTCATCCTCCTCAACTTCCTCATCGCCATCATCGTCGATGCATTCATGAGCGTCAAGGACAGCAACCTTGTCGCCACCTCAATAACCACTGACCTCGCACACATATTCAAGTACAAGTGGAACTGTTGGCGTGGCCGCTCCTTGCCATATCCGCTCATTCTCGACCATCTCGTGGAGTTGGGCGCAAAGGACACTCGAGTGGACAAGGTGAGAGAGCTGGGAACCTGGGGCACCTTCGTGGAGAAGGTTAGAGGCCTATAAAATGGTTCATTGTGAACTTTCATCAAATGGTCAAAGTAGCATTAGGAGTCCCAATTGAGTTTTGTTTTTCCAATCACTGTTCGTAATTCCAGATAAGATTTCCTTTCAAAAAAAATATTGTAGTCAATTATCAGTCTCTTGTGTCGTATATGCTACAAGTGCATGCTCTCGGTTGTTGTTGAATCGGGCATGCTCTTTTTTTTTAACATATTTCCTTATCTCTTCTCCTCCCATCTCGTCACATACGTGCTTTGCAGTCGGATCGTCGGATGCGTCGCATGCAGTCAATGAAGCGGCGGACACGGACCCTCTTCTCCTGCAGCTGTGGCGGCGGCTGCAAGCCGTCGCACCTCAGTTGCGGGGAGAACCACCCCGCCTTCCCGTCTGCCAGCGAGACTGGGGAGCGGCGGCAGCACGTGCTGACAGTGAGGGAGAAGCGCATCGACATCATCTCACTTGCCATGATCCTGCAGCGGTGCCAGGATAGGGATGTACGTCCTTGCTGGCGCGGTTGTCAGTATGAGTACTTGGGCATGCCATGTGTTGTGGTATGCCAAGTGGCTCTGCTATGGCGTATGTTGTGCCATTGCCAAGCCATGTGGTTGTGCCAGGGTATAAGTTGTGCTAAGTGTTGTGCCATGCATTGTGGCAAAAAGTGTATTGTGACATGCATGTCCAGTGAATGTGATGTGCCGACTTCTATGCACGACTTTCTCACAAACAATCTGCCCCCGCACGTCCCTCTATCCACCGCTCTCCCCATGTTTCACTATATTTCCCCAGCGAGTTGGGCCCTGCAAGGCTGAGTCGCCGTACAAGTGTTGGTCAAGGGCAGGCACAAGTGAGGATGCGGAGGAGGAGCGGCTGGAGCAGCTGTCGCAGGCGGTGGTGCTGCAGTGCGGCGAGGTGGTGAAGCAGGCCGCCCTGCCCGTCAAGAAGAGCGCAAAGAAGCTCAGCCTCGCTCACATCAAGGTGCGCAAGGAAGGCGGTGAGGGGCTGTGTTGTGAATACGGGTGAGTGGCGGTGTGTGAGTGACTACAAGTGAGAGGGGGTGTGTGCGAATACAGCGGGAATTCCAGTCATCAGAATCCAATGGATGGGATACTAGAAGAGGCTGCAATCAGCCCTATAGGTTGCATACCTACCTTCATGCGTTCCTGCTGCTCCCCCACAGCATCTCTTCGCCCCTCTCTCTCCCTTCCCCATGCCAACGCCCCTCCCTTCCCATGTGTGTGAGAGCAGGCGGATCTGGCACGCAGCGAGGCGAAGGTGGAGGAGCTGAGTGCCATGATGACAGACATGCACGCACTCATGCTCGACCTCCTCGCCCGCACGCCCCCGCTAAGTAACACTGCCCACTCTCCTGGTACCCCCGGTGGGCTGCCAGCATTGTCAAGCATGCCGCGCGCCTATACGGAGCCCCCGCGTCGTCCCATGTCCGTCACAGACTCCCCACAGCCACTGGAGCAAGTGGAGAGTAGGAAGGAGGTGCCTAGAAGGTTCAGCGAGTGTGGAACCGGTGGGGAGGCATTTGGGGGAGAGAAAAGAGTGGGGGGCACTAGAGATAGTCCGAGCAGTGCTGGAGGGAGCTCGAGCAGAACCCCGGTGCAGGCGTCACAACGAGTGTTGGGCAGGCGAGTGTCGTGGCAAGATGGCAGAGGGGCGGATGGGAAAAGGACAGAGGGGTGGCAGTAGCAGCCCGCGGTGTGAAGTATTGTTTGTACAGTATCGCATGAAATCGGCTTTGGCTTGGACCTGCCAGTAACCATTACTAACAGTCTCTCATTGTGACGGTGCAATGTAGGGTGCTAACAGTTTTGTGCTGTAGTGGTGCATGAAGTGCTATGCCTTGTGTGTTGTTTTGTGGTGTTGTGGTGTTGCATTAAAATTGTTTTCAACACCAACGGCTTGATCCATTTACTGTACAGCTTCCCGTAAACCCAATTCTCTCAAGAGGGATGTAGTGTACATGTTCTGGAGCTGTATGGAAGTCTAAACGGCTGGCATCTTCTGACGCACAAGATGCGAGGAGGCCTGATTCACGGTCTGTCCATCATGCCAGTTGGCGCAACTGGTGACACGGCACAGCAACACGGTCCAGTTCAGTTCCTTGGGTTGACCATCACCCTGCCTCCACAGGTGCCCCTTTGCTAGTCTTACAGGATGCAGCCAGCAGAGCCCAGACCAACATGCATTGGGGAGATGTGCGGTGCAGCGGATACTGCATCCCCAATATACCGTTGGAAGGCTGAGAAAGGGCCGTATGGGGATCAGAGGAAAATGGTCAAACATCAGAGTTGTTCTCGGTGTTGCAGAAACTCTCAAGGGGCTCTTTGGTTTCCAATCAGCGGCTGTTGCCATGAATCCTGCGCGCTCGCACCACCCTCACCGCCCTCCACCGCATCATCTTGGAACACCACCCGTCTCCCTGGCCCCCGTTTCGACGATGGGGATCTGCTGCTCCCTGCCACTCTCCCATTCCCACTTGCTCCTTTCGCCATGCTACACCCACCTCTCCCACTCCCCTCCACTGCTTCTCCATTCGCCATGCCCATCCCACCCGCCTCCTCCCCTAGCCGCGCACCCTCCTCTTCCACTTGCGAAACTTTCAGACACGGCTGCATCAGCGGTTGCTGCCCCGGCAGGGGTGATGCCGAGCGGGGAACAGGAGGGCCCTGGGCGCGTAAGGCGGGTAAGGCGCAGTCGAGCAGCGCCATCATGGCACGCATGTCGCTCTGCATGTCCGCCATCATGCCCCTCAGCTCCTCCACCCCTGCCTGGCACCGCAACACCTCCTCCTGCTCGCCCATGCATGACATGACACATGGGAGGAAGGGGGGTAAGGCATGGAACAAGGATGCTTACTCTCTGCCTTAACCAGCAGGGCATGAGCAATGACTCTTCGAGTGATTCAACGTGCACCTGCATCCACACATACCCCACCTCTCTGCCACCCTTCCCCCACCCACTCCATGCACCTGCACGTGCGTGAGGCTGAGTTTCTGAATGGGCTTCTTGAATGGGCTTCACCACCTCACCGCACTGCAGCACCACCGCCTGCGACAGCTGCTCCAGCTGCTCCTCGTCCGCATTCCATGCATCGCCCCCCCACATGGCTCCATTCTCACACGTGGACGACGAGAAACACACCGCACTGGATGATGTGGCAGGGGCTTTTTTTACCTGGAGAACAGCAAGTGAAGGCCAATGGGATGAGAAGGTGGAGTGGGATTGGAAGGGGAGAAGGGATGGTGGATGGGAAGGCTGAATGTAGTTGAGAGTCGAGCTGAGACGAGAGGCAGAGTGATGCAGGGGAAAACATTGGGCAACCCTGGATATCATGGCAACCAACAGGGAAAACATTGGGCAACCCTGGATATCGGCCAAAACAGGGACTTTCATGGCATTACCCACATCAGTCGTCACAAGCATAACAGGACGACGTGAAAATCATGGGAACGAGCATGGGAGCAAGGACGCACCGCCTGGTCGTGGCGGCGCTGCAGGATCATGGCAAGCGAGATGGTGTCGATGCGCTTCTCCCTCACTGTCAGCACGTGCTGCTTCCGCACCCACGACTCGCTGGCCGCGGAGAGGAAGGCGGGTTGGTTGTCAGACCGCGGAAAGGGCGTCGCCTTGTCAGCGCTGCCTCGCGAGCCTGAGAGCATGGCGCCGACCCGCCGTTGGATCGAATTGAAGCGGCGCTTCCGAGGGTTCTCCTGAAACGAAGGCGCGTGTGCGGAATGGCGTGAGTGGGAGATGGCGGTGAGGGATTGGGGGCAACGGTGGCCGTTGCAGCATGGCCAAGGCGTCACCTTAAACCTGCGTAAAAGGAATCAATCTCGTCGTGTCTCCATGGCTGGAACACACAGCCCAAGCACATTCATTTCACTCAACCCATCAAACACCCACTGAACCCTGCACCAAACGCCGTAACACACACTCACGTCTTTTATGCGCGTGTATTTAGCCCCCAGGTCCACAAGGCGGTCGAGAATGACGCGGTACGGCAAGTAGCGGCCGCGCCAGCAGTTCCACTTGTACTTAAATACGTGAGCGAGGTCAGCGGCTATGGAGGTGGCGACAAGGTTGCTATCCTTGACGCTCATGAAGGCATCGACGATGATAGCGATGAGGAAGTTGAGGAGGATGAAGACCATGAAGACGATGAACATGAAGAAGAAGAGCATCGCAGCTATGAGGTCCCACGACTCAAGGCGCTGCAAGAAGTAGGCGGAGCCGTTGTCGTTGATGAGAAGTAGGAACAACGAGAACATGGAGTTGAGTACTGTGGAGAACTGCAACGGGTGAGGCGGGAAGGCGAGAGAAGGGGTGTTTGTGGGGCAACGGATGGACAAGACACACAAGGTTGGGAAACAAGAGAGGTGGCATAGTGAACCTGGAAAAACAAATTGGTTGGAACAAAATGGTTTTGTAGACTGCACAAGTACATGTGAGATGTGATATTTGCTTGTTTTTGCTTGTTTTGTTTGGTTTGGTTTCTAATATATATACGTATACATTATATGTAGATATATACATCTATACTTATATACATACATACATATAAAAATATATAAATATATACATATATACATACATACATATAAAAAATATATATATACATACATATATACATACATACATATATACATATACGTGTATATATGCATATATATGTACATATCAAATATACATGTAATAAGTAAAAAGCGATGCTAACTGGTTTCCGCATACAGTTTATTCGTCTCACTGCACATATTGGGGCCCAGTTGGATTTGATTTAGACAGCATAAGTAAATGAGCCCCACACCTAAACATACCAGCTCCATTGCGCCTCCAAAGACGAGGTAGGCGTACATGCTGAAGCAGAAGAAGACCGTAAAGGAGAGCAGGAAGAAGTGCAGCAGCGAGGGCGTGGCGAGGCCGAGGGAGCGCGTGATGACGCCCAAGTATGGCTGGAAGTCCATCACCTTGAGTAGGCGGATCATCATGAAGAAGACACTGGGGGGATGGGGGGTGGGGAGGAGGGGGAAGAAGGGAGAATGTTGAACGAAGATGAGCAACTGAACTGAACCCGTGTGTCACGACAGACGAACCTCGGACCAGTCTGTGCTAAGGCTTCGTCCGAACAAGTTAAATTTGATTAACCTGCCGGTTTAGGTCTGCTTGACTCGAACCAGATCAAGCTAGACTTTTGCTCATTCTATGTAGTGTTATAAACAGTAAAGATGGGTCACTTGATGCTCTGGAAAGCAAAGCAGCGCACTTGAAACCCTGCAGGGCAAGGCAGCTCACTTGATGCCCTATGGGCAAGGCGAGTGGCTCACTTGATGCCTTGGAGGGCGAAGTAGACGGCGCGGAGGTTGATGATGTTGTGCAGATCAGCGAAGGCCTGAGTGGCGCTGATGAAGCCTGTGGGCGGGTTGGGCACGGCCCAGTAGCGTGGCATCTCAAACAACGAGTAGTAGATGTTGTAGCGTGGCTGCATGTCAAACGTGCTCACGTACCGCCACAGCACGACCCTGACCACACCAATGCACACGCATTAACGCACAAGTGGAGGATGGGGAGCAAGGCGGAGGAGCAGGGAAACATGGCCAGATGAGGTTATTTTTTAGGCGCCTCAAGAAATTTTCTGGATGACGAGCAAGTGAGACAGAAAACAGCTCTTGCCACACCAGAGGGCAACGGTTTTTGAAAATCGCTCACCAGAGGACAACGGCGATAGCTTGCAGCGAGAGAGAGAGTATGTCGACCCAGTTCCAAGCTTGCTCGAAATACCTGAGCACAGAGCCATGGGTGGCAGCGCGGTCGGCCATCTCCTGCAGCTCGCCACACACATTCCAGAGCAGCCCCACCAAGTAAACTATCTCCAGCACCAGCCGTGCGATGTTGTCCGCCGATGCATCATACATCGCCATGGCTGCCGGCTGCGACTTGAAGCTCACGTCCATGCTGCCCCCCCCATTCACCGTGCACCTCACAGTTGTCAGCACGAACGTGAGCGTCTCGCCTGCCAACCGGAGGGGGGTCAAGGGGGCGAGTGATAGGCGTGCATTGAGAGGCCCGCCTTGATAAGCGTGTGGTGTACACTGAACGTTGTAAGAAACGAATGGATGTGTTGAGTAGATACACATGCTTGAGGGTCGTTGTTACCACAAGGAAATTGAATACCATTGAAGGTTATGAAGTTGACGTCTATGCTGCGCGTGCCATTGTCAATGTAGCTGCCATCCATCAGGTAGTGTAGACGCCTTGTGGCTGCCTCGTTATCAAGATTAATGCCAAACACCAAAGGGTATGTCGTGAGAGACGCCTGCTGGAAAAGACATCATTGGCTTCATCGGTAACACACCACAACAGCAAGAAACAAGACAGCAAGACAGTGCGAGAGCAAGGCAGCACGACAGCAAGGCAGCAGAGCAGATAGACATGGAGGAGCACAAGGCACTAGGGCAGCAAGGCAGCAGGCCAGGACACGAAAGAGATGAGTCGGTCGTTTGCCTTGCTTGTTTTGAGACGCCTCAAAACTTGCCTTGCTTGTCAACTGGAATGGGATGGGATCCACCTAAGCACTTCACCGCACCTCTCTGCACTGGCAGTGCCAGGCACTAATGCGGAACATAAATCTTTGAAAGGGCTTATCATGAAGTAGATGAAGCCGTTTACTCTTAGTACCAACCATATAGAAAATTAAAGCACTTACTCTTACTACTAACCATATGAGTAATTAATGCACTTACTGTTAGTACCAACCATATAGGTAAATTACGCACTTACTCTTAGTACCAACAATGAGTAAGTACCGACAATATGAGTAAGTATCACACTTACTCTTAATACAAACCACATGGGTAAATAACGCGCTTACTCTTAGTGCCAACCATATGGGTAAGTAACGTGCTTCCTCTTAGTACCAACCATATCGGTAATTAACGCACTTACTCTTAATACGAAACATATGGGTATGTAACGCAAAAAAATTTAGCATCAACCATATGGGTAAGTAACGTGCTTACTCTTAGTACCATCCATACTGGTAAATAGCGTGCTTACTCTTGGTACCAACCATATTGGCAAGTAACACACTTACTTTTAGTACTAACCATGCTTGACAATGGCAGATAATGCGGAGAACATATCTTTAAAGTGACTGACCAAGGGGTAGATGAAGCCGTAGGGGAGGCCCTGCGGGTTGAACTGCAGTTTGAAGCCGAAGGTGTTGTTGTCGAGCTGGCTCATGTTGGCGCTGGCAGCACTGTCGTAGATGGCCGACGTGGGCAGGAAGTGCGAGTTCACTCCAAACGGCTCCGTGGATGTGCCGTTGCTGCACCACCCCCCTAGGTGCAGCAGGCTGGGGGGAGAGAGGAGGGAGGGGAGAGGGCAGGAAGGAGTAGAGGGGGTTGGGGGAGAGAATGGCGGGTTCCGCTATGAGCAAGGGAGGGAGTGAAGTGCAGGCGTTGAAAGAAGGGCAGTCGGTGGCGATGTCCCAGCGACAGGATCTGTCCCAGCGACAGGATTTGTTACAGCGACAGGATTTGTCATAGCGACAGGATTTGTCACAGCGACAGGATTTGTCACAGCGACAGGATTTGTCACAGCGACAGGATCCCGCAAACATCGCGAAAACCTTGCACACCACAGTAGGGATGAGCAACAGTCAAAGAATGATGGCGTGGCTCGTTGGGCCGGCCCCAACAAGCCGCAGCCCCGCGCGTTGGCTCCTTCGCTTGTGGAAGCTAGTCCAAAGAGTGGCACCTAGCTCGGCTACCACCCTTGCGCATGCCTGCATGCATGCCCCTTCACGAGAGCCACTCACCCCATGCATGAGAGCCACTCACCCCATGCATGAGAGCCACTCACCCCGCTCCGCTGCACTGTTGTGTGCCCCACCGATCCTGCTGCAGCACCATGCCGATCAACAGACTGGCACGGAGAAGATGGAAGATACGAGGGGTAGGAGGGGGATAAGGCAGAGGAGAGAGAGAAGCCGATTGTGGTGGCGAGCCAAGGTTTTGACGGATATACGCGGTGCTGCTGCGAGGAGGGGATGAATGAAAGCATAACAAGGTCGTGGAAAGGCATGGCGCTGCACAAGAGGCATGGCGCTGCACAAGAGGCATGGCGCTGCACAAGAGGCATGGCGCTGCACAAGAGGCATGGCGCTGCACAAGAGGCATGGCGCTGCACAAGAGGCATGGCGCTGCACAAGAGGCATGGCGCTGCACAAGAGGCATGGCGCTGCACAAGAGGCATGGCGCTGCACAAGAGGCATGGCGCTGCACAAGAGGCATGGCGCTGCACAAGAGGCATGGCGCTGCACAAGAGGCATGGCGCTGCACAAGAGGCATGGCGCTGCACAAGAGGCATGGCGCTGCACAAGAGGCATGGCGCTGCACAAGAGGCATGGCGCTGCACAAGAGTGTCGCCCAACAGTGCGACCGACTGGGCAGGCAGGGAGGCAGGGGGCGGCGTACCGGTTGCGGCGAGACACGTAGCGTGTGGCCGCAAAGCCCCTCTCAGCAGCAAACACGTAGTTGCTCTCTGTGTAGTTGGGACCGTAGCGCTGCAGTGAGAAGGGGAAGTTGAGATTGTTGAGTCGACTCAAAAGTCACCTGGATATAATGTCACGCGACATTTTTACAGGACGGAGGGCGATCTTGGCATGGAAATTGCCTAAGAGAGTTGGAAGCTTTTTAGTTTCTGCTCGTAAGTGCTGAAGTTAGTTTTTACTGTAGATTTTCTTTTTTTAGCCTGATTCAGGTTACTGTAGGGTAGCCGAGTCAGCTTGGGGTGTATATAAACCTCGGGAGGTTCATTTCTTTCTTGTGGTCTGACGAAGGCGACTACGCCGAAACTAGTTACCACCATTTTATTTACACAAGAAACCATTCTACAACCAGGCTTCCACGCCTGAAATCTTTCTGAACCTATCTTTGCTCTAAAGGAACCGCTGCCTCGTAATGTCTCCCACCACAAAGTGGTGCTCCTTGAGTGAGAAGGGGAAGTTGAGATTGGCTCCCACCGCTGTCGACAGACAGCACGCTGGAGGAGAAAGGGGAGGAACAGAGACGAGGAAGGGGAGGGAGATGAGGAAGAGAGAGCAGGATGGGAGGGCAAGCGTGAAGTGAGAACAGGAGAGAAGAGAGGGACGGTGGAGCAAGGCAGGGGGAGAGAGGGTCAAGCGGAGGGGGGAGAGGGGTGACTGACAGCCGTCGTCGCGGCGGGTGTGGCCGGGCGGGCAGGCGCAGATGCCGGGGCCGAAGAGCGGATCGACACACGCGCAGTCGTTGCCGTCAAAGGCGCATGCGGGCGTATTGCACGCCGCATCGCACACCCCGTTCGCCACCCGCTGCAGCCGGCACCCTGGTGCACACTGGTAGGTTGCCGTGGTGTTGGTGGGGCCAGCAGTCGTGCTGTTGGCAGCGGTGGGGTTTGTGGTGTTGGTAACGACTGTGGTGTTAGTGGCAAAACCTGCATTTTTTTTCATGCGAAGGAAAGCCAGGGAAAGGTACAGGAGATGTGGAGAGGAGGGGTTGGAGAATGATGGAAGAAAGGGGACGAGCTGTGAAGGGGGAGAGAGGATGGGGAGGATGGAGGCAGGAAGGTGTACTGGGATGCAGCAGCTGGGAACGTTGAGGAGAGAATGCACGGAGGGCGAGTGAATGCAACTGAAAGGGAGGGCCCATGGAAGAGGGCGCATGTTAGAGCGCATGGAATAGCTGAAAGGCACAAGAGAGATGAAACACACACATGCAGTGCTTACCAGTAGCATCCACCCCAGCCCTTGCAGGTAGCACTGTGAGAATGCTGGCGGACATGGAGGTGGGGGTGGGGGAGGAGGAGGGAGAGGCAGAGGAAGACACGGCGTCCCCAGCCGTGCCTGCCAGCGAACCGTCCGCGTAGTGGATGGTGATGGGCTCTCCAAACACCTTGCTGTACGCAAAGGAACCCGAGGGCTCGTCGTCCATTCCTGGTGGGGAAAGGGGTTGGGACGTGGAGGGGGTGGCGGGGGGTGTACAGAGTCATGGTTAAAGTGATGGGGTGCGAGGGTGATGCATGTGCAGCAGCAGGCCAAGATGATGAGTTGAAACGAAGCAGGCTACACATAGCTTGGTGAAACGAATCGCTAACCAGCGCCCAGTACTGGATTGCACCGTATAGCTCACTGACCATGGCATGAGGAGGGCACTCACGTAGCACGCACGGCACGGGGTCATCACTCATGTCACCAGTGCCCACGTTCATGGGAGTGCACACCATCTGCCGTGACACGGCCAGGCGGTTCCCCCCGAAGCCCAGAAATAGTGGGTCGGCCACTTCGCCCATCCCCGCCACTGGTGGGGGTGGCATGGTGGTGGGGGCACAGAAGTGTGGAGGCACAGGGTTGTGGAGGCACAGGGGCGTGGAGGCAAGTGGGGCATGAGGCAGTTTAGACCAGTGAATGGAAAGGTCGCATGGGGCACAAAGAGTACTTACAGAAATAAACCACAAAAACTCGTTTTCTCTATGAAGCAATATAGGCACGGATGCACACACGAGGTAGTGGCGCGAATGGGAAGTGGTAGAGATTTGAAGACAAAGATGTACCTCTGATGGAGTGTGGGAGGTCGTCATCCCACACCCAGGTGACTTTGTCGCCCACATGGATGGTCGTGTTGTGAGACACGCCTGCCCGCCACTGCAGCCACGCACCGCCTGAAAGGAGACAGAAAAGGTTAAGGAAGTGCCTTCAGTCAAACATGATCCGCCTATGATGTCACGAATGACAGCAACACTCAGACATGAACATACAAATGCATGCACGCACGCAAGCGCGCGCAAGCACACACACATGAGCGCGCACGCACATGCACATGCACATGCACATGCACATGCACAAGAGCGCATCGAACACACCAACCACCAGGCCCACCTGGCCATGAGCACCTTGCGAGCAGCCAACAGCATCAGAGGTGACGACAGCATCGTCGAAGGAGTGCATGAGCGTGTTGAGACGAGCAGCGGCGGCATCTGACATGGGCATGACGGACCGCAGCGCCGCCACCATGGTTTGCACGATGCGCCGCATGTGCTGCGATGAGATCATGCGCCCGCCCATCACATGCGTGCGCTGCAGGTATGCATACATCTCGCCACCCTCCACCACCGGCTGCCCTGCTTCATCCGTGAACCGGCACTCATCCAGCGTCGTCACAGGCCCCCCCAGCATCGTGCACAGGCACGCCACCATGCGCCACCGCACGCTGCCCAACCCTCCATGTGTGTGGTTGCTCGCTCCCGCCACTACCCTCGCCTCTGCTCCCGGTGCGCGCCCAGCCAGGCAGCGGTCCTTGGCCACTGTGAAGAGTGAACGAGACACCGCCACCTGCAGCGCTGTCAGTCACTGGCGGTCCGTGGCGCCCAGGAGGGACCAGAGCGAGGGCAATGTGGGGTCTGTTGTGGCTGCCGTTCCTGCTGGTGCCATGGCTGCTACTGCTGCTGCTGCTGCTGCTGCTGCTGCTGCTGCTGCTGCTGCTGCTGCTGCTGCTGCTGCTGCTGCTGCTGCTGCTGCTGCTGCTGCTGCTGCTGCTGCTGCTGCTGCTGCTGCTGCTGCTGGCGGTGGCAGGGCTGCAACTGCTGCTCCTGGTGCGCCTTGCACTGGCGGGGCGGGCAGAGCCGCAGGAGCGGCATCAGCAGAGGCAGCAGAAGAAGCAAGCAAGGCAAACACAGGAGGGGCGTCAGCTGGCAAGGCCGAGGAGGTCCAATCACTGTAGCGGTGTGGGTGCAGGCGGCGGTGTGGGTGCAGGCGGCGGTGTTGTGCCTGGGCCTGAGAAACGACGGGCAATCAGTAGTGGGCTATGGTTCAGCGGAGACAGCATGATAAGGTGGGATTTGCAAGAAGTGCATACACGAACAAAGGGCGAACAGCAACGTGAAGGGAGCACGAGAAAAAGCGGAGAAGGAAAGCCACAAGGAGCAGCAAGCTAAGGGCGAGGATCCAGAGAAAAGGAGCAACAAGCAGAACGGAGCAGCAAGCAATGGTGAGCATCAAGCAACGGGTGAGCGGCAAGCAAAGGTGAGTAGCAAGCGATGGGGGTGGGAGGAGCACCTTTCGGCGGGCAAAACGAGAGAGGTGTCCCGTGGAGTTGACTGCTGGTTTGGAGGGCGTGTTGTGGCGTGAGAGAAGATGATAGAAGAGAGAGGAGAGTCAGGAATGAACGCCACAGTGTACACCAAGTGCGTGTGAGTCGAACGCACACACAAACTACACAAGACGATACTCAAGCCAACTCAAGACAAAATGCAGGAGCGGGAGGGACGATACCTGAAACGTTGCAGGGGATGTTGGAGAAGAGTGTTGCGATCTCAGGCTGCAGGCAGCGGGGGATAGAGGAAGGCGGGGACGAGTGAGAAAGACAAGCGCCCTGGTAATAGAGGAGGCGCTGGCGGTGAGTAGCCCGCGGGGCGACAGGTAGCAGGCAGTCTGATGTGGTGCACTGTTGGCAGCCACCCAAGGATGTTGTCGAGGCATGCCAGGGCAGGGCAGAGAGGTAGCGCAGGGCAGAGAGGTAGCGCAGGGCACGAGGGCTGTGCAACACCACTGCTGGCATACCATGGGGCACGGCTGGTTGATTTGCAGAAGTCATAGAATTTCCAGTGTTGCATGGGGCAGGACCGTTTGCTCTATACAAGCATCAGAGACACGGAGCGCACGCAATGGGAGCAGCATGGGGCAAGGGGCGGACCATGGGGCAAGGGGCGCACCATGGGGCAGGGAGAGTCGGTGTAGGAGGTGATGGAGGAGGGTGCAACGATGCACATGCGCGCACAGTCCACGAACGCCCCTGCCACCTCCCTCTCCGTGAATGCTCGCCCACAGGTTGCTGGCAGGCAGGCCACCAGCCTTGCACACGTCTGCATGCAAACACACATGCACGCACGCATGCACGCACGAACGCACGCACGAACGCATGCATGTGCACATGTGTCACCCGCCAGGCCCTTCAACGCGTCCTTACACATGCTCCGCGTCATCGTCTTCCCCGTTGTATCCTCCGTCAAGCTGCGCTTCAGCGGACCCCCCGCTACTGTCGCCTTCCCCTCTCCGCCCTTCCCGCGGCCCTCTCTGCCTTCCCCGCCCTCCGCGCCATCCGTTCCATTCGCACAGTCGGCGCGCGTGTTGCTTGCGCGCCTGCCCCGCGGGCGGCAATGCCGCAGGAAGGCGCGCAGCCCCCGATCGTCATCCGCCGCGCTCTCGTGACTGCTCGCGCTGCTGCTGTTAGTACTGCTGCTATTGCTGCTGCCCCGCGGTACCTCAGTCCCCGGACCCTCTCCGCCAGCCCTTTCTTGCTAATGCCATTAGGGTTTACACTCTTCGCGGCGGTGTAAGAAACAGGAACCGCTGGACTTGTTTCCGTGCTGCCTACTAGGAGTATGTTCAACCAAGTTTGTGTGGTAGTACCAGCTTATCTCCTCCCCATTCTTCGCTGCTTCTTGAAAAATGGGCGGGCAAGCTAAGGAATGATAAGTTGGTGGATGTGATGTGAGCGCATCATCATTCGGTCGGTGGTGTCAGCAATCGACAAACTCGTTTTATTGTACAGCAAACCCTAAGCACCCTGGCAGGGTGTACAACAGGGCTGTAGAAGCAAGGGCATTTGCCCTTAATGCCCTGAACATTCCGGCCTACGTTTCGAGCAGCTCGACCATTTAAAGTGTTAGATCCGCATGGCACCCGTGACCGTTACGGGCCTCGTTTGGGCCTTCCCCTGAATCAAAGCTTTGGTTTCTGTTTCGAAGGACCCCCCCCCCCCCCAAATTCCCCCGCCTCCCCCCCATACCCCCACTCCCCGATGTTTTTTCCTATGGTGCTTTTGCCCACGATGTAGAGGCTGTAGGTGTGTGGATGAGTAGTTCGTATGTACCTTTTTCCTGCTAAATAAGATAAAACATCCTCCTGTGTTACATCAGGGCTCAAGCACACTTTCCTAAGAAGCCATGATTTCAAGTTTTTATTTTGGACTGCGCCCGTGAAAATCAGGGCCAGAATTCGAGCAGCTCAGGACTCAAAGTTTTGGTCCCAGGGACTTCGACAGGCCTGGTGTAGAAGTACAGTTTGCTGGACAAGCAAACCAGACTGCCCGAGGAGTGTGGAACTGTCAATCGGCCAGTTTCGGCGAGTACTTGTCACTGTGGCAGGATGAAGAGGAGCTGTTGGTCAGCGCATATCGTAACAGAGCAGTAAGAATCTCGTACCTAGGTTTCAAGGAGAACCTGAACCCCATCCATTAACAGGTTAAAAGAAACCTCTCCCAAAAGCCCAGTCTCTTCCCATCCAGTGGTTTTCGTTCACTAAAAATAGTGGCTGTATTCTCAAAACATTCGGGCCGTCCCCTCACATGAAGTTCTGTCCATGACCAGCTACGACTTCAAAGTTTATAACAGGTACACGTCACAACTCCACCACTCTCCTCCCACCCACAACCCCCAAACCAATGCAACCTGCGATGTCACACATGTACATTCGGATCAGGTCCAGGAAAATGAAAATTCTGTGAGCATGTGATTCTTTTCGACCAAAGGCACTCGATTCCCTCCCTCACTCAACAGTGGTACTCCGGTTCTTGGGGCCTTTCCTGGACCGTACCCTGATTTATAAAGGCCTTTTGGTCTCAGAGGGCACTTATAAAGTACGACATCCTTCTGGCCATGTTGGGGTGCTAGTTGGTTGTCTTTTTTTGCCATTTCCAGAAAACTGGTCAAATGAGACACCCACGTCGGCTGTGTTGTGCTAGTGCGTTGGAGTGCACGCGGCCATTCTTACACCTGATACCCGTTCCCATCTTCATTGTTTATAGATACCAGATTCCTGAATCGCAGACACTTTTTTCAGGGGGAAAAAAAAGGACTTGAGCACACTTCGGGATATTAGGAAAGTTGCAGAACGCCTCGGTTCGGCACGGATCGGGTCGGGACAGCTCTTAACCACTGAACTGCTTGCCACATTTCGCGGCTCGGATTTGGTGCATGCAAGTGCGGTGCAGTGCATTGTATTGGCACGCACCAGAGAAGTGGTGAGATGTAGTGCGAACTGTTGCCGAGCCGATTCGTTCTGCAACACGTTGTTAGTCAAGACGACCAAGGCTTTGATTCTGGTTCTGTGACGATTAGGTCGTTCCATGTAAACATCAGTCATTGCTCTTGACTGATGAAATGGGGATGCTTGGAATAGACAGTTCAGTGTACACCGGGTGTACTTATATGCTCGTTAAAGCAGCCACATGTCAAGATACTAAGCACCTAGGAAACTAGGTTTAGGCTTAGGATGCACAGTTAGGAGTAGGAGCTAGGGTTTTAGCCTTAGACAAAGTAGAAGTTCAAGCAAAAGGGGTGATTCAACTATAGAATGACAAGTACAAATAGAGGAGAAGCATGCAAGGAGTGGTGCACCACCACACAGGACAATAATGGTACTACACTACAGCTAGAACTACATGCGCTTATACAGAACATACATCAAATATATTCTGACACACCCCCTAAGTGCATGCAGGAATAGCCATGTGCAGAACACCCCCTGAAGTGGTACACCCTGCAGGGCGCAGCAGAAGAAGAGGCGAAGTGAGGAGGAGGGGGAAGAACTGTGAGAGGAGAGGAGATAGGAGGCGGCGGCTGAAGCTGCAGACACACGGGCGACAGGAGCGGCTGGCACAGTGGCTACCGGGACAGCGCCCCGGACTACTGGAGTAACTGGCTCGGCGGCTACGAGGAGCGGCAAGAGCAACGGACCCACAGGCGACTGGCGCAGCAGGCTCGCTGGGCTACCGAGAGCACGAGGGCCCCGGACTACTGGCGCTGCTGGCGACACGACGGCTACCACCGTTCAACTTCCCCCATTGCCCCACACCCCCTTCTACAACACTAGCGCCACTCCCTCGGCTCCCCCACACTCCCTCGGCTCCCCCACACTCCCTCGGCTCCCCCCACACCCTCCCCCCCTCAGCAGCAGCTGCAGCAGTGGGAGAGAGAGAAGGAGGAGGGGCAGCTTACTCACACCCGCCACCCCCAGCTCCCCCCACACTCCCTCGGCTCCCCCCACACCCTCCCCCTTTCAGCAGCAGCTGCAGCAGTGGGAGAGAGGCCACCCCCATACCCTCCCCCCCACTGCCGCACATGCAGCATGGAGATGAAGGGGAAGGGTGGGGGGGGGTGGGCGGGGGGGCGGGGTAGGAGGTGCGCGGGCGACAGCAGGGCGCGCTGGCGGGCAGAACCCGTCGCGCGTCCAAGGCGCGCGACGGGCAGAAACCGTCGCACGCCCGGGGCGCGCGACGGGCAGAAACCGTCGCACGCCCGGGGCGCGCGACGGGCAGAGAACCGTCGCACGCCCGGGGCGTGCGACGGGCAGGAAACCGTCGCGCGTCCGGGGCGCGCGACGGGGACGAAATCGCCGCACGCCCGGGGCGCGCCACGAGCAGAAAATCGACGCGCGCCCGGGGCGCGCGACGGGCAGAAAACCGACGGGATCCGAAATCGACGGGCAGAAAACCGACGGGCAGAAAAACGGGCAGAGGGGCCCATGAGCGGAAGCGTAGTAGGCATAGGATCGAAACGCTCTGATACCATGTCAAGATACTAAGCACCTAGGAAACTAGGTTTAGGCTTAGGATGCACAGTTAGGAGTAGGAGCTAGGGTTTTAGCCTTAGACAAAGTAGAAGTTCAAGCAAAAGGGGTGATTCAACTATAGAATGACAAGTACAAATAGAGGAGAAGCATGCAAGGAGTGGTGCACCACCACACAGGACAATAATGGTACTACACTACAGCTAGAACTACATGCGCTTATACAGAACATACATCAAATATATTCTGACACCACAAAATATGCTAAGCATCCGAATGAAAGTGTTTCTATTACATTTTTAGAGAATAAACCATTTGTTCTTCTACGATGAAACGTTCCAAATTGCTAGGCTTCTTGATTATTCTATCATGTGTATGCTTCTACTGAAGATTAAATCAATGGCATACTATAATTGCATGGTTGTTCACTACGATGATGAACGGCTCCATTTTGTGGGCATGAATAGCAAGAATGTCTGCCTTGAATTGAAAGATACCATAGGTATGGTAATATACACGTCCAGTAGGCCAGCAACTGCATGGAGAAAGGGGTGTATCTGACCAGGGTACCTTAATTATTGGAAAAAAAAAAACAAAAACAAAAAACAAAACACAAAAAAAAAGAGAAAAAACAACAACACCAAAAACAACGAGAAAAACAACAACAACAACAACAACAACAACTACTACTACTACTACTACTACTACTACTACTACTACTACTACTACTACTACTTCTACTACTACTAC